TGTTCGTTTTTCCCATCTTTTTAGCAATTTTGTAGCTCGCGGAGTTCTCCAGAGCTCACCCAATGACCCAATGTTGACCCCTCTTTTTTGCGCGTGGGTGCAGTAATTCAAATCCTTGGCATTTTCTTTCTGGTTCTTTTATAATCTTGCTTTCAGAGCACACCGATAACATGAATGACACTGGAGTTCGAGGTGCTTTGAACGGTGAGAAAAAGACTTTTTAGTTTTTAAATTCATTCAAATTTTATTTGCTACAGGCGTCGACGAGCTGGTCACATTCCTCGGATCCGCATCATCGAACGATCGATTCGCTTTTTCGAAAAGGGCTAATGTTATTTTTGAGTGCAGGTCAGGATATTTCTTATCGGCCATTGCTTGGGAACAAGGAAATTGATAATATAATATAAGTGTGCCAGCGTGCGGCCATTTCTGAATTTATTATTGGGCTCTATACAAGTGGGGTGGGCACGCCCAGCTTTTCACGCATGTCAAGTGACTGCCCTCACCCCCACCCCCTAGATTGGCTACACTCCCCCTGGCTCACGAATTCCCCGATTCTCGTGACAGTATAGTAGCGGGCAGCAGTCCCACTTACATACATTTCTGTTCAAAAAATGCGGCGTGCCCACCCTACTTGTATAGCACCCATTATTGGATCAGTTCCATTTTTAAAGGACGAATTCTAGTGACGTTTTCTTATCGGCTTAGTAACTTCAATTCTCAACAAGCAAACGTTTCTAATAAAACCACTCCTGGCGCTGCATACATGCTTAGAAAACAACGTTGGTAAGCAGCAGCCGAAAGCTACAACTGCCTGGCGGATATTGGTATGGACAAGTAAAAAGTAATTACGGTTCTTCAATGGGTAAACGTCCCTTTATTGCATGGGAGCTACTAGCAGGAATGGCAGGATTGCAGCGATCGTTCATTTGGTTGATTGATGAATCATCATTAATAGCATTGCTATGAAGAATTGTTACTACGTTATTTCTACAGAGAAAACCAGCTGCCAAAATGCAAAAGAAAATTGCCATTGTTGAGAATCAAAAAAAAAATTCCGTACTGAACCAGGTTATGAAACACACAGTTCAATAAGGCAACGAATTAATCTAGTTTCATTCCATTTCCTTCTGTAGCCTATAACAGTAGAGGCGAAAGAAGGAAGATTAGTAGAGTATGATTGGCACAAGAAATTATTTTGCATGGAAGACTTGGTTCCTTATTTGTGGTTCTGTAGAGGGTGGAAAGTAATATAGCAAGTGAAAAAGCAGTAAATGAACATAGACAATGAGCATAAAGCAACAATCAGCATGGGCTCATCTTTTATATTGCTTCATAACAGATGAGATCACGCTCATATGAATTTCTTTTATTTGAACACAGTTCCGCTAAACAATGAAATATTATTTATTCATCTCTTTATTGATTAATAACATAGAAAAGGAATAAACGTAGGATTCAACAATAGATAGATTTGAGTTCAGTCACTGGGTTGACTTCTAGGATTAGGCTTTATAAGGAACCCAATAGATAGTGCGAGCGAATTACACTTTGTGCGGTACGATGTCAAGAAACTGAAGTTTGATTTCTCATACTTAATTCCCGGGAGCAAACTGGCAACAAATGAGCTTAGACAAATGATTTTTACTAAACAGGAATAGTTCTACGACCTCACCCCAGTAATTTGTTTTAATTCGTACTCGTGTTTTGAAAACAGCCAACTGAGTTTTCAAAGCTGGTTTGGATTTCGTCTCTCTCAAATCCGTTGCAGCAATTACGTATTCTTCACGCTTTTTCGTTTTTCATATTGCTGGAAGGCCACAACAAAATAATTTGGTGCGTCTATGATGTGCAAACCCTTCAACTGACTTCACAAATAAATTATTAAGGTCCAGTCTTGCGCTATGGGGTGAAGACGTCATTTTTCAAACCCCTCCATGATAGTTGAACCATGTAGCATGAAAAACACTGAAAGTCTGTGTACCAGTTTTAACAGTAGCTGATTATACCCCATCAGCTTTGGAAATAAATGTATTTGGTCTTATTGAGTTACTAACTGTAAACAGCACCCAGAAATTGCGTAATTCGCAACGTAGTTCGAATCAACTCCCTCCAATGGAGGTGAATCTCTGACATCGTCAATAGAACAATGCTTATTTTTCAGGACTTGCTTCACATTATTCCGTAAAGCAGACGGCTTTATGCGACATGTGACGCGTTGCGATAGTAGTCGAGGCGCCGATGCTGAATCGGAATCTGATCGACGATCGTTGTATGTGACACAAGCTCCCGTCGCCCAACCAATGGGTAGAGTATCCCGTGTGGTGCCGCTGAACAAGCCGATCGCAAATGGAATGGTAAATACCTTTTTAATTTCGTTCACAAGCTGAGTGGTACTCTAGGTTGGAGCAAGAACTTCAGCAGCACCTTCACACATTTTCAGCTTTATTTTCTATTTTTTTATTTGATCTGAACGTGACCAGAGCTGTATTTATATTCGCCATGTCTATGACCTGCCCACGACGCTGAGGTAGATTCTCGATACCAATCCTTCAAA